CGCCTAATGTAGTAGGTAGTGTACTTCTCGTGTGTAGTACGATTAAAGATAAACCAAAAACCATTGACATTAATATACTAAGTGTCTAAGTAGTGTAAGGTCTATGCTAACGCCACAGAATAGAATAAATACTGGTAACGCTGTAAGTGTGGGTTTTGATCACGATTATAAAGAACTTTGGTGTAAGTGTCTTTATAGGTCTATACGCCATATGACGCGATGTAGATAATTATTATTGTGTATCAATTACCTTTGCTATGACAATATCAATATGGCATAGATAATATACGGTTAGTGTACCTATATACGATCTTAAATTAATTTTAGGCGTCAAGTTCCCAGCCAAGACCGTATCTGGAAATGTTTTTTTCTGCTATAAGAACTCATCTAAGGAAGGCTTCAATAATAATCCGACATTAGTCGGAAACTCAGTTAAAAGCTGCGCATATAAAGCACTCCAAGTACACGTAGAAATTAAATCAAATACAAGTGCTGATTTCCTTGCACAAGATAGTAGAAGCATATTAAAAATATCAAGTTTAAAAAAAATTCAAAAACTGAAGACCAAAATGTTTTACTTGATTCGTAATGTGCAGCTGGTAGTGAACACATTTTAGAAGATGAGGACGAACTATTGTAGTATTGTCAGTATAGGTACCAAACCCTACTTAACTAGCATAGGTTAGATTTTTACAGAAAAATCACTTGATTTATTATCAGAAGCTCAATCAAGGGGTGAGGGCTATTTAAATACTATTAATGTTTCATTTAATCGTCCAATATTTCATAACGGATTTTTGTTTTTATTATTGAGCAATGAACTCATTAATTATAATACTTTCCCCAACTTCATTTCTTGCGTATTTATATAAACTCGTCTTAAACAATTTTGATAGTTAGGAATGTTTTTGATGTAAGCCCCTTCGTTATGACCTAAATTTTTGGAATGCGTACAACGTGTTTTTGACGAATTATTTACTGTCGCACAAAAATACAAAGTTTATAATAATGTAATTGTTACATTATTTTTTAATCGTCGACCTTATTTATTTTAATTTATTTATTTACGATTATCCGATTCTGCGCTTTTTAATAATTGCTATTTTAGTACAATATTATGCAATATAATGTTATTTATTTATTTTCAAATGCCTCTATAAGGCTCAAGTACAGTTTAGGTATATTATCTAGTATTTGGACGTCCCCCCACCCCCGTGAATTTTAACAATTTTAATAATGAGTGGAGACTGGAGGCGATCTGTCAGTCTGTTACCGAGGACAATAAAATATCACATTTTATAGATCTTTATAATAACGACTTATTCAATAATAAAATTATGATATATTTATTATATAATATTATTTTTTGATTATTAATAATCCTAATATAAGACCAAATATCTTATGAAGTTATAACTTATAAGACCTTATCCAACCAAACATGATTTTATTCTCCCCCCCCCCCCCCCACACACTGTTGAAACGACACTGAGACCGTATATTTAATAAAACAAAATTTAAATTGTTTTCTTATCTATAAGATAAGTGAAATGTAACATACCGTGTGTTCCTAAATTCATCAGATCAGTCAGCCGTTGGAGGGGAGGACAGGTAATCAAGCCGATTGACTTATCAGCAATCTGTTATTTTACGGATGGACTGAAATGAAACTCGATGGATTTGATAACAATATGCAAACGTTTAGGAACACGCGGATACTATTGTTAGATACAATATGAATATAATATTACCACCGTCGAAGGATTAAAATAACTTAAAAATTGACCTATTCCATATTTGTCAACATCAATAATGGTTGGCCCATTAATAATATATGTCATATATTATATGAATTTTGCATAATAGTTGTTACATAATTTCTAAAGAAAAAAATCATGAAATTGTTGATATATGAAAACATTATATTGAGAATTATTTGCCGTTTCCACGAATCGATATCGTTTATGAGCCATTTTTCTCAAAATACTGATTAATTGCAAGGTAAATAACAAAATCAGTTCGAAAGTCAGACGACTGATAAGGACCTACCTAGTACTTACTACTTATTTACCAAAGGTAATACAGTAAACAGTTATACAAATTATGAATGTCTTAAAAAATGATTTTGATTGATTATTTCCGACATTATACATTTAAACCCACCCATATTCTTTGCAGACTATATATATTATATATATATATATACATACATATATAGTTGGCTACATATATACATACATCTATATAATTATTTAATAGCACGGTTGTAAAAAAATATAGATGCACAAATAATCACAAAAATAGAGCTATGATTCGTGGCAACACACTTACCTAGTTAATAATAATAGTATAATGTAATATCATAACATTATCATCTGCTCAGTCGACGGTCCCGCTACATAGGTAATCAAAATAACATATTATTATAAAATTCAACAGTTCAAAATTGAAAATTGTCATATTATATTTGTCCTGGTTACTCTACCATCTGCATACTTTGAATGCAACAATAATTACCAATAATTACGTGAGTCAGTCACGTCACATTATAGAATACCATATTAAATCAGTAACGTGACTTGTATAATATAATATAATTATTATTAGGTTCTACGACTTCTACGAGTGCGGTTGCAGTGCTCGAGTAGAACTCGGAGCAACACGCTATATTCATACAATTACTCGCGCTTATATTATAACCATTAACATAATACCGGGTAATTGGTGATTATTTGAACAGTTAACGTTCATTATGTGGAAAAGTATTAAATTGTTTATAAGCGTTTTCTCGATGAGAATAATTTATAATATTATGTTAAAAATAAAAATGTACCAGTAATTATTTGTATCCTTATATTTTTTATTAATATTGCTTATGCAAATTTGTTTTTCTCGAGATCATGATAGTTTTCTGTTAAAAGTAAAATCACGTTGTATGCTCGTGCACATTGACACATTCTGTAAATTGCATCGGCTAATGTCTAAATGCGCATTCGTATTGATGAATGAGGTTTTATAATAATTATTTATGACTTATATGGTTCTACATAGTCTATACGACTATACATATCGGAAAAATAAAAAACAGAAGCCGATGTTAGTCGATAAAAGACAATAACAATTTGTCCTTATTTTTTAAATTAATTCATAACATCACATACCTACCTAATATCATATTAATATTAAATGGAGGCCAGCCATTTAGACGGATGTAATACCTATAACATGTACGAGTGCCGAGTATATTAAAATAATTAATGGCCATGTAGCTATATTATGATGTTGTATAAATGTATAATAACTTACGTGTATATTTACCAAAACCACGTAGGCTTATTAAATATTAAGTAGAGATAACGAATATATGTACCTACCTACCAATTTTATGACTCTTTAAAAACTCAACAAAAATTTTGAATATTTTTGAGATGAAATATGAAGTGATGGTATTTAAATCACACGTATTTTGCATAGGTTTGTATTTTTTATTCACGCGAAAAATACTGCTGGTATCATAGATATTATAGCTATTATTTGTGTAAAAAAATTGTTAGTAACTCAAAATATAGGTACATCTTTGAAAATTTTGTTTTTAATATTTCAAAGCCATATTTTTAAAGATTACCAGAATTATTTTTAAACATAAATACATTTTATAAATTTTAGATTCTGAGCTGAGCGATGGATGTATTTAATTTTGTGTATATAATATATACACTATATACAGGCTGTAACAAAATTAATTTTAGAGTTTCAAATAGCTTATTTATTTTAAAAACAGTTTTTATTAATTATTATACTTGTCCAAAGTTGTTCAATGTGCCCCGCACAAGTCAGATAATATAAAACCGATATTCCAGTTCATCTCACACCCTCTCAAACATATCGGGATAGACAGTTTGAAACGCAGCCATGAACCTCGATCGTTTTCTATAACCATCAAGTTATTAGACTTACTACACTACCTATTGAATTTTCCGTTAACGTACAATTTTGCTTCGTCACTGAAGATAATCCTCAAACGAAAATGTTCAACAGTCTTTAAGCGTCAAGGATGGTGGCTGCAACTTGCAAGTTGCAAGCCTGAAAACTTTGATTATAGAGTGTCTTAAGGTCAAACACCAGCTGTGTTCTGCATTTATTAAGTCCCACTAAAAATCTCCATTAAACTTTTCTTCATTTACGCTTTGTGTAAAAAATGTTTAATATTTTTATAGATATTAAATTATAGGCTAAAATAAACACGGTCAATCAGGAAGTGCTATAGCATAGCTATACCCCCTTAGCACCTCTGGATGCGTCTCTGATTACTATATAGAGATATTGTATTGCATAACCGATAACCATGGTCCACGACGATTGATAAGTAGACAGCTAGTATGTTCAACTTTTAAGGTAGGTGATAGCTAAAGAATTATTGAAAGAATGCGACCTTGCACTTTATTAGGTTTTTTTTCATTGGGCAGAAGACGTTAAAGTACACATTGTTTAATAAATACGTATTTGAATAAATATTCTAATTTTTTTTTTTTACATTTTTATTCAAATTCAAATAATACAAATAATTGTCGATGAAAATAAATACAATAGGTATTAAATTGTGTGAAAACACTGTTATATACGTTTATTAACAATGTAGTAGATGTATATACAATATACATATAAATATAATATAGAACCTAATTTACAGTACACATTGTACAATAATATTAGATATTATATTCCTCGTAAATAAGAAATATTTGAGAAATTAAAATGGAAAAAAAATTATAAATAATGAGAATAATAATTAAATTAGGTAGGTAACTTAAAGTATGAGTTTAATCAATAATTAATGTATACTAACCGTCAATTAGTATTGAATTTTCCATATGATCTATACTTGTTTTAAAAATGTTTTGCTTGCATAGTTTCAACATTTTTTTATAATAATATTGTTGGGGCGTCAGGTAGATGATATAATTATTAGGAATAAGTCATTAAATTACAATATGTTAACTGTTAAGTCTTTACAAATATTGAAACATTGAAATTGATCATCTAATATGACATATTTTTAAGTATTATAGGTACATCCGATAAATAAAATATGTAACATTTGGATAGTTATAGATTATAGTGAAGGTTATACAAGCACGGATATGAAGGGTCCAGTAGAGTCCTATATGGCATTATAATATTTATAAATATAAATGATCAATATAAAAATATTTTTTAATAAATTATAATAGGTATATTATATTATACTATAAGTCTTTATCCAATAACTCTTTTAAGTCGTTAATTAAGATTTGCACAGTTTCAGTTAATTCGGAAACTGCAGGATTAATAAAAATTGAATCTAAAAATACAGAATTTGAAAAAAAATCAAAAATTTTATCTACCCTGGACAGTGTTTTATCCGTTAGATGTCTTTTGGTTAGTTCTTTTAGTATTTCTCTACACTTAAATAAATAATTGATTAAATAATTTTTGTCATAACTGAATTCTATTTCATAAAAACTTACTGCAATCATAGTTAACTCTCTAAATTTATCTTTAAAATTATTCGCTAATTCCAATTCATTACTGTCAAATTGATCATTTCTATACAAAATACTCAATTTAACGATTATTTTGATTATATTTTTCGTCAACTTCTCGGATTCTTTCTTATTTCCCGTCTGAAAAATATAAACAATAATAAGTAGAATAATTTATTATTATGGTTGAAAATTTTTCACACGTTGGCTAATATGCAATATTTTGATTAAAATATATTAAATTAAATTGTTTAAATATCTTTGTAATCATTCATCAGTCATCCTTCATCACATAGTTTTTTTTTTTATTGTTCATTATAGCTTCGGCAGCTTACTAGGCCATTAAGCTTTGTATATTTTAAACATTATATTTGTACATTTGATACAATTGGTTACAATATTAATGACTCATAACTATTTAATTATTAAATGTTTTGCTCTATTTGTATGGACTTGAGAAATGACATTACGCTTTCTGGTTGGCAGTCGAGTCCGATTATCTCGTATAGGTTCGTTGGTATGTTATGTTTTCTCCTCTCTTCTTAGTTTGATCTGCATTCGGCCATAAAATGTTATACTGTGATAGTAGTTCCGCATGAAGTGCTTTCTGTTGGTGGTTGGTTTTTCATGAGGTGTCCGTGTGTGAGGTGGGTGTGATCGGTTTTCAGTCGGTTATTTCTGTTTTTCTAAATGTTTTTGGTAGTGGCCAGGGATTTATGTTTTGTTTAATTATTGGTAATTAAGTTTTTTGGTTTAATCAGTGATTTTGCCATATTATGTTCCGTGTGATAGTTTTTATGTGATTTTTTGTATTCTAATATTGTGCTGTATTTTTGTTTGGGGGTTTCAGATACTGTTGCATTTTTTGCGTGTAGTGGTCAGCTAATTCGTTTCCGTTTATTTTGCAATGGCCTGGTGTCCAAATGAATTGGACATTCTTTTTTGGTTTTTAATTTTTCTACTTGGTATATGATTTTGGTGGCAATGGTTAGATGGAAATTGGTTTAGAGTATATTTTGGATGCTGTTGGTGGACGGTGGTGCTTAAGGAGTCGGTGAAAATATTGTAATTTTAATGTGGATAATTTTTAGTAAGTTTAAGAGTTATTATTATGGCGATGGCCATCACATTGTTGTTAATAGTTTAAACAAAGGAAAATAAATGCAAATGTACAAACAGTGTTTTCTTTCTGGTTTGCTTAATTAAAAAATAAAACAACGAAAACAAAAGTCAAAACTTTAGTAATTATTATAAATTAAAAACTCTTAATCTTTTAAATTAGATATAATATATTATATTTTGTAAATTCTACAATAGTTAAAACCTGCAATTTATAATAAAATTTAATATATAAATATATAATACTTAAACGAATATTTATCGGTATGAATAGTTTTAATAATATGAGATTGTATAGGTAATTCAGTAATTGTATTGTTTCCGATACTTTGTACCTACAGACGATTATTTAATTTAATAAGTAGGTATAGGTATAGGATGATATTGAGAATTGATGATTAAACTTAAAAGTTAAAAAGGATTAATTTAAATACAAATTGAACGAGAAGATCTGTTTTTAGTTTAACTTATTGAAATAATAACGAATTTTATTTCATTTATTATAAATGTAGCCAACACTTTTAAATTATTCCAGGAACGGGTAATTTTGAAAGCTATTTTACATTTTATCATAAATTCGTGTACTATACTAAAGAATTTTGTTTTCTGTTTTTGTTTTACAGTTTCTATACCTATCATTACGTAATTTAATTTGAGTATTTTTTTATATCAATTTATTGATCTAAACGGTGACCATTTTAGATTTGGGAAACATGTGGGTATACCAAGGTAGTTTTGAGTATTTCCATATTCGATTTTTCAATTTGAAAGTATTAACTATAAGTACCGAACAAATTCGAATAAATTGTTAATTGTTATTTGTTATGTTAGAGAAAGTAGAAACAGGCCATATACTGTTATGCAGTAAAAGAAACTATAATATAGGTATACCTATACTTGCATAAAAAACAAAACTGAAATGTATATTACATATCCATTTATATTATTATTTTCATAATATTATGGTAAACTTAAAAGTAAACAATTTAAAATAGAATTGGCAATGGTGAAAAATAACGTAAATATGCATTGAAATATGAGCCACTCGGGGGCAAAAATAAACTATTACAAATGGATTTCTCTAATGCATTCAAATAGTAGAGAGTTAAATTGCATATAACATACACTGTATATATTATAATAATGATAATATTGAAAAAAAATATTAAAAACTTAATTAAAATACACCGCTTTAACAATATTAGCAATTATTTTGCTTCTTGTACCTAGACACCTTCTATTTATAATATTTAGTACTTTATACGTGAGTTTCAATTTGTTGTAAAAATACATATTTAGGTATAGCATTTCAATAAATGTTGTATTAAATTAGTATTTAAGATATAATACATTTATAAACTTACGTAAATTTTGGCAAGTCGATACAAATTATCCAAAATATTAGCATTGCGTTCGTGAATAAATAATTTTATAACATTTTTATTTGTTACTTTGCCCAAGAATTTTTTTTGAGCTTGTAAAATAATTTCCTTTGATTTAAATCCTTCCGTCATTCCTGAATACAGTGCACACAATCGGTAAATTAATTTGGCATGGTGAATATATTAAAACATTTTAATTTATTTAACTCACCCACTTATGACAAAAAACGTTCAAACGATGAAATTTCTATTATGTCTTTATTGCGATGACCTGGAATCTGGAAATAATTATAATATATATTACTCACATTGATTGATTGATATATTATTATTATAAATCAATATTATTATTTATTTCCAATAAAATGTTAGTTTCGTATATTATTACTCATATTATATTATATTAATATATATAATATACTTTAAACTATTTAATAAACTGTATCATACACGTGTGATATAAACCAGTGGAAAAATTAGATATTTTAGTAATTTTAGATAAACCTAATCAGGGGAGGATGGGTCATGGGTACCTTTATGAACTTACAATAACATTGATCTAATTATACGATATCACATTATTATATGTTTGAGTTTAATGTACAACTGTACAAGTGTAAATAAAATAAATAATCACACATATTTACTATACTGATTTATATTTATAAATCTAATTTGTTTGATGTAACATGCAATGGAGGTACATAGTACCCCCAATCTATGATAATTACCATATTATAGCCTATACAGGCTATTAGGCTAATTTAAAAATGCCAAACACCATTTACCCATGTTTGTGTTGACTGATGACTATATTGAGTACTATTCATTTGAACTTATTGAGTAACAAATAATTATATTTTGTTCATATACCTACTATTTATCGAGAATTTATAAATGTGTAATACAAAATCATTTCAAAACCAAGTGCCTATAATCTTCTTTTATTCGAGACAATCACGAGATAAAATTCACTTGTTGGGAACTACTTAAATTCCTATACAATGCTATTCACTAATAATTATTAGTATTAATATGACGTTTTCAAAGTATGAATATTATACATTATAGATACATGTATCATAATTGTATATTGTTTTTAATTGACATCACCGGGTATTCTTTCAAGGTCTACTTCATTTAGCGTCATTGAAATTAATAAATAATAATATTCAAATAACTTATATAATATTATTAAGTAGTCAATAATATTTGTTTAAAAATGTATATCTACCTACCGCTATAATAACCTATATGCATTATTATGAGAATCGTGTTTTTAAATTACAGTTTTTTGCCTCCTATAATTATTTAATGTAAATTATTGCTGTTTTATTATAATTATCGTTATTTTATACTTTTTACGATCAGGAGAATCAGGTCAATGCTTCGCGATTGATGCATATTTTATTTGTTAACATTTGCGTTCCACTGTACAGAAATAACTAATAAGTAATATATATATATAATAGTAGTCTAGTCATACATACTATTATGTATAATATAACTACGTTAAAAATAGTAACAAGTTTTTTTCTTTGTTTTTCTATTGATGGCTTATTATAGTGTTTTAGAGTTTTACTATTACTGTATTTAAGACTAGTGTCTCACAATATTGTTTCGTATTTTATATATTTTTTTGAATTATGTCGTTATTATAATAGGTACACGCCTACTACACTCATATTTTATAATAGAAAATAATTTAGGTAGTTTTATAAAATTGAGATCATCGCCAGCATTGCCGTTATTTATATTTATTTGAAATAATAAATATCGTAACTAATAGCCAATGAGTAATCGATAATATTATAATAATATAATATAATTATTGGTAGGTTCCAGATAAAATATACATGTAGGAAATGTGAATCTTGTGTTTTATTAAACTATATAGGCATGTTTAAACTTCAGTGATTGCAGAGTTGTTGGGCATAATATAATGAGTCGTACAAATCAACGGCACTTCGTATATGAAATTATATTTCTCATTTGCACGATATTATATTATTATTTTTGAAAAAAGCGATATAGGCACCTACTTATTTTTTTTTTGTGCAGATCGGATGTGTACCATAGGTATTTTATACATGTTTTATGTTCATATTTTAGTCGTATTCATATTGTTGTCTAACATTTATATTTTATACCGTTATTTAAAATTCTGCGGGTCCATGACATTCAACTAATCAGCCTTAAAAAATACGAACTTTTTGGCACAAAATTACCGCAGATCACATATTATTATTTATCGTTATCGATATAATAATTATAATTTATAAGCAATATGGATACTAATATACAGGTATAGATTTTCGTCATGTTTTCATAAAACGATTGTACTCACCAATTTTCGTTATTGCCTCTCAATAATTTACTATTGCAGTTTATGGACATAGTACATCCAACTCTTCGCCAACCGTGATAGATAATATATCTGGAGCTATAATATCGCAATAATATCTTCTACGTACACGTATGGGATTCAATCATGATTCTGTACACAATGTGTATGTATCCAAATTCGCGATACACCGCGTGAATCGGCTTTTGATTTTACTATATTATTATTATTATTATTATTATTTAAAAGGCCCGAAAGAAATGGGGGAAAAAAAAAGTTCGACGTCTGGTGCCTATATCTCGGTAAAATATTGCAAAAAAAATAATCGCATTCGCCGTGGCCGATGTTCGCTCAGCGTGCAGTGCGGTTCACGCGCGTATAGTGACGGTTGACGGTTTGGTACCTACCGACACAGGAACTAGACTAAAACCGTTTGGCGGACGAGAGACGGAAACGAAACAGCTGCCTCCTTGATAGTTGAACGCCGCGGACGACGATGACGACGACGGTTATTGTAATAACGAGTGCTGTGTATAATAATGGGGAAAAAAAAATCGAACATTGCAGCTGCTTGCGCGCCTTTGCACGCATATCATGCGATGACGATAATATTAAATACTACAATATAATAATGATACGATGTACTCGTATTATTATCGATGGGTAACCCGGGTACATACGTTTTACATTTATGTTTCGAAAAAATATTTTAGAACAAACGATGTCTAATAACGCGCGATTATAGTATTATGCCAATAGGATTGTCTTCGATATAGTTCAATATCTGTCTATATTCGATAAACTAAACGACTTTGGCCGCCCGCAACTACCCTTGCTGCCTACGCACAGATCTTGTGAATGAACCATATTATATTACCAACTCATGTGTACAGAGGTAATTATATATAAATTATATAGCGATATAGCCGATGTAGTCATACAGGTGCCTTACTGTTGACTTTGGTTGTGAACATAATAATTATTATTATCACTTATTAGTTACGTTAATTATTTAATTACATTGCAGGACAGCCATTAAATGTACTCCGACTAAACGAGAAAAATAATCTTCAGTACCTAGCAGACAGTAGTTAGTACCTACCTATAAAATGCATATAATATTAGGTACACACCTGTCGGACTCGGCTGTCACCTGCTATGCTTCATTTATGGATATAACCTTAAAATTTTTTTCTCTTTTAAATTGTCATCTCAATTGTATATAAGCACAAAGGACCTATCAAATAACTACTGAACATATTTTGTAGAAATTTGTAGTACGACGTCGTACTTACGACTCACCATTCGTATATAGGTACGTGTATGGTGATACCGCGTCTGCGTGAAATAATAATTGTACATTTGTACAAACTAAATTTACTATTTATAAAACATCTTGTAATAATAGGTATTTAACATTTAAGCAAATATAATTTTCCATTTTTTTTTTTTTTTACAGGCAAATCCCGTTGAAAATTAGTAGTTGACACCTATTATTAAGTAGATACTTAATAGTTAGTACCAATGTGAAAAGTACAAAAGTCAACAGGTAATATTATATAGCCATATAGGTAAATATAATGTTCGGTTAACGGTTTTAGTTTTAACTTCTACATAGGTATACTTAACTATACTATACAAATTTATTTTTATTTTTTAACCACAACAAAAAGAACGAGAGTATAGGATATAGCCATATAGGTATTAAGGTTTTGTTCTACACATCTCGTAAATTTGTCATATTATATTTTGACTAACTGAATAATTATTAATTACCTATACAAGTAACTAGTAGATTTAATTTTTGACACTGAATTTCTAATTAAATGACATGTTATTAACAATTTATTAGTAGGTATAGCATTAGTACTTACAGATGCAAAATTTAAAACACTTAAATAATCCTAACCGTGTTAAACGTTTTTATCTACTAATTCGTTTTAAAATATGTATCTACTTATACATTTTTATTGTTTTACATAAATTTAATTTAATGTCTTACAAAAAAATACTGCATCTCACTGAAAAAATCTTGTGGAGACCTGCAGCGACCAGCGTATTGTATATTGTTACAATATTTTGCATAAATATTATGGTAAATATATTATAAACGTTTAAAGGTTGTGTACTTGTGTGCTTATAAAGGTGCATTAAAAAAAAAAAATTTGTTTAAAAAATTAAAAATCTAAACTACGAATAATATCGTTTACCTACGTGTAGGTATCTACTAATAATAAACATATGATCGTTTGAGATTTGATAACCACTAGTTAGGTACCTAGTCACAATTCTAGTTAAATATTGATATTATTTTATGGTATTCTGAAAATTATATTTCCGAAAATAGTAAGTACGTTTCCAATAACGCAACAACCAATTCCACTAACAGGTCATAATAATGTGGTCCAATTGTAATTGTTTATGCAGAACAACAAATTGAGAATCATTCTATGAACATTTCAGCGGACAGTTCTACAAATAGCACCCTAATAGGTATTAATATATTTTAAATTATTAAACATTTTATATCAAGTGAACAAACTACCATAGAAAAACTGTTGTAGGGTAAGTTATGTTTATGTACCTATATATTATGCGCATACAAATAAACATTCTAAATTCAATAATATATTAGTTAGGTATCCGAAAACAAAAAAAGATAAAATATTAAAAATAGATTAGGTACCTAATTACCACGTTAACTGCAAATAACAACAGTTAATATAAAACTAAAAATATTACCCGTATGAATTTTTTAAAAACAGTAAAAGTATAGGTACTTACCTTGATTGCTAATGTTTGGAGGAAACTATCATTTTCGTTTTTGTGGAAATGAACTACTATATTTCTAAACATGAAATATAACAATCAAATTGGACGATATAAAATGCGTAGGTATAATATCGTATACGCGTAAATAACCTATGGGCTATCGTTATGAGGCAATGTTTAGACATACCTACTATAAAATAAACACGTCATCCTCTCGAAAATATTATTCTCTATCAATATTTTATGAATGATTTTTCTCTAAGATTATTCAAAAACAAAAAAACATGGTACTGCGTTAATGCGTTTTGTCTATGTTGCGCGTTGGCCAGAGCGAGAAAACAAACAGTTTAAAATATTTAAATATAATCATATGTTATAAGCTGGTTTTACTGAACAGTAGGTACCTAACGGCTAACATTAGAGTTTAGATTAAAGTTTTATACTATTATAATAGTATATTTAATTAGGTATAATAGAGTTAAATTTATCCATAATCCAGAGAGTAGCGTATCATAACTTTTGGATAGGGAAGAGGAGAGTCAGTAAAAAAAACCTAAGTTATTCCCAAAAAATAGGCATTTTAAATTATGAATAATACTCTAGAAAAATTAGTCATCAGTGTATAAAAATGTGTTTAACGTGTGACTCAAGCCCTCTAAATTTTAAAGTCAACTTACGTCTATCATGAATCATGATTCATGGTATTAGCTGTCACGATTGCAACTATCGTTTGGACTTTGCTCAACTTCAGTATACAGAGTTATTCGCCAAGCATATTAAATGCATGGTGAGTGGCCACTTCCAATCTTTCAATTAATAACGACTTTATTCAAATTCTGATTTTTAACATTTTCAAATATTTATACTCAAAGATCATATTTTTAAATTCTTGAGATTTTCTATACATACTACTTAAGTAGTATAGGTGGGTATCCAGCAGTTAAATTGCAAACTTCTGTTTTTCTAATGAGAACCCCACTTCTTAACTGTCAATAATTTAGTGGATTTTTTTTGGAAATGTTGTAGGTATTTAATCCAAAATTTGAACAGGTAGTTTCTCAGTTATTAAAATATTTATGAACAAAAGTCCTTAAAAATGGTTTCATAATAGACAATAGTATAAAATATATAATATGTAATATTGGATTTAGTATTTATTATAGGTACATAGGTTAGGTACTTGGACAATTTGTATACATTATAAATGTTGCAGATGAATTAATATAAATTACTAAATATGTTTTATTATCATTGCTCCCATATTTTCTAAACTCATTATCGTGGATCTATAATCATCTTTAGTATGACAGTACATATACAAAGTTAAATAAGGGAATAACTCAAAAACTACTCGTTCGAATTTTGATTTTGATAATAATATGTCAACATTATCAGAACAATTATAAGCTAAATAATTTACAGTTAACAAGATGGGTGCTCATTTGAAAAATGGAGGTTTGCATCACCACAGTACACTATCCTTAAGCTGAATAAATATACCAAGAATTTGAAAATTTTAAATAAAAGAAAAAGTGGGGTTGAGAATGTTTGGTGAATCACTATGTACCTATGTAGGTATTGATAGCCAAATGACAGGTAATTAGACCTATTGTCTATAATATACTTGTGTACTTACTTAATATAATAGAGATACCTATATATTATGTTAAAAAGTAGGTTCCTTATATATGGGCGGCACAGTTATTGTACCTACCAGTATACAATTATTTTACCAACACTATTCTGTCGGATACCTAAAGTACCTATATAACTACAATATAAGGTATTTACTATTTATATTCACTGAAATTAAGGTAGTTAAATATCTTATTTATGCATTTGTACAATGTGATAAATACATTTATAGTATGATGTATTGATATGATTGAAAAGGGAGAGGTTACATTAATTTTCGCGAGTTCGTTACAATGGCATGCACCTATTCGTTATTCGTATTTTATTTTATGTTCACACTTAACATTATATTACAGGCACCTATTATGGCTTCACTATAATAATTTATATGTTTTCTTAAATTTAATTATAAAGCTGACTTGTAGTCTGTATAGGTAGGTACCTTTAAAAGCTCCAATAAGTTTCGACGATCCGTAGGTAGGTAGTTGTTATGTTTGCAATCAAAGTTTTTTATATATAAAATGAATGATCGGAATAATGATGAAAATTGTTTCCAATTAGGAATCGTAGTGCGCTGTTATTATAGAATCGTACCTTTGTGCGATTTTGGAAAACGTCAACAAAAAAAAAACCCAGCGTCAAATTTAATATATAGGTAGTTAGAATCCTATAGGTTGTATTATTTATTATTCAAATATATATTATATATATATAGGTGATAAATAATACATAACTTAATAATGTAAACTGCACGAGTTTGATGAGAATTGCGTGGTTTGTATATAATTTTCGTCGTGAAAAAAAATATAATGATTGAAAGTGGAAAAGCAAGGTAGGTGTACTTATCTCAATCGGCCTTGGAAAACATGCGCCCCCAATTTTACCACAAACTAAGGTGTCAGAGCCCGGCTCCGAGTTATTAATACACACTAATAAAATTCAGAACAATTTACTTGCCTTGCACACCCTATTGATTTTCTTAAATGTTCATAGATTTGACTTTTGCTTTGAAAACGGCAAGTCTTTTGA